GAGAGCGGCGGGGGCGTGATAAAGCCCTCGCACTCCTCGCCAACGACAGACATGACGATGGCTAGCAACATTGTGGTTGAGTGGCTGCGCTCGCTTCACTTAGGCCAATATTCCGAGTCGTTCATCGACAATGGCTACGACGACCTTGAGATTTGTAAGCAAATCGGTGATCCTGATCTGGATGCGATTGGAGTGTTCAATCAAACGCATAGAGCTAGATTACTTCAATCGGTGAAGACACTGAGAGAAGAGGGTGCTGCGAGCGTTTACTTCACCTTGGAAGAAAGCAACGATTGTTTGTGCGACAATGTCAGCTCGAAATCTTCTAGAACGTCTTCTGAGAGACCGCTCAGCGATAAAGAAGCGCAGAGGGCTTCGCCGACTGCCAGCTCTTCGAGCGGTGGTCAGGAATTAACCAAGTTCGCGGACGAGTACGAGGAGGGAAAGGCGGAGCTCGTCAGAATCCCAAGGATGCAGCTACGGGTGCTGCTGCAGGAGAAGCTGAGGCACGACGGCATCAGGCTGGCTTGTCAACCTTACACAACACCGGTAAGTCAGCTTGTCCTTTTTCCTTTTTGTTCGTTTTTCTTATCCTTTCTCTCGCTCCTTCTTTCTCTTTATGGACGTAAATTTTCTTCATCGCTATACCTGACTATTACGTTTAAGACAAAGTTAGTTATTTGCTTCCTATGGTAAAAAATGCTGCGAAAAAATTTACGGCTAGAAGCTCGGTACGATATAAGATGAGTTACATGGAATTCACGGAACTTTATCATCCTTGGAAGTATTTCGCTTTTTGATTTCTTTCCCTTCTTCCCTGAAATTTCTTTCACGTTTTTATTTTTAATTCCAACCTGTCATTGACTAGCACATCTATCCGTTTGTTGTAATAATAACTTTGCGATTTTTTTCATGGACGTTTATGAGGTAGTTTATTTCTTTTCTAGTTTTTTTTATGTGTTATTTTATTTTAGATTAGATTATTATGATACGCATTGTAATCTCGTATCAGAGATATTCTGTTACAAATGGATAAAAGAGAATTTGCCGTATTCTTTAGAAACAGAGTATGTTGAGCGAAAGAATTTATAAGGGAAGGCCGAATTTGTCATCCTTATTAATTGTACGAAAATAATCTATTTTTCTGAATGGATTGAAATGAATAATTCTAACAATAAATATAATTTATGGGATAAAATAATAAATTTAACGTATATATCTATGATTCTATGATCGAAGTTAATAGAAAAGGCAGATTTATAAATTATCGTTAATTATATTAGCGCCATAATATTTTTGGTTATTTATGATCAATATCGGAAATACGAATCGAATTATCAAATTGTGAAATAACTATATGAATCAAGAGGATGTTTCAGAAGAAAAGCAAGATAATGCAGAAAACTCGTAACCCTTGTAGAGACACGCCTTGAGAATGTAGATAATTCACTGATTCATTATTTCGTTACAGTAACCCCACTGCTTCAGATAAGACGCGTACTATAATTTTATACGTTCTACGATGTATATATGTATTCATTATATCTTTCCGAAGACAACGTGTAGTTTATACATTTTAACGAAACATTTCATCATATTTTTGTTTTATATTTTTTATGAAAACGATTAATCAAAATAACAATAATTAGAAATAAATAAATATATATATATTTCATTAAGGAAATTCTTCGTTTTTGAAGTTCCTATCGTTTATGTACTTTTAATATGTGATAAATAATATGTCTGGCTTTCAAGCTCGATTGATTAGCGATAAGAGCCTGTCTCAAATTTCTTGAAATTTAAATATAATAAAATTAAATATAATGAAATAAATATAAATGCGTGCAGCCGCCCTAAATACTGTATCAAAATTATACATTTATTTTGATAACTAGTACAAATTTATTGAATGTTGGAGAAGATTCATTTACATAAGTCGATTCCAATTAATATTTATAATCGCTTCATTTTTAACTATTTAACTGAATCACTCAATAGTCTACATTTAGGTCTTATAACGAATGCTGGAATTAAAAGAGAAATAAGATAGCACAAAATAAAGTTTGAAGAATGTAGTCGTATTGATTTTTAAACTTTTATTCATGATTTGCACATTTGTGTTATGTAAATTGTAAGTAGAAAAAAGTAGAAAAGTGTGTGGTTCGATAATATTGTTTCAAAAATTGAAGTTATGCGACGATAAAGACAAATAGCCGCATCTCATGCGTAATTACATTTTTTGTTTGTGAATACAAACCATCCGGAATAACCACAGGCTTTACGTTTTAAAAGGCAAACAATTTTAAAAAAGTGCATCATATTTTCATGCAGAAGTAGTTGGGAACGGTATTTCTGAAGTTTCAATTGAAAAACATTAACGAATATGAAACATATTTTCTTATCTAAAGACTACGCATTGAGCGTTATCAGGTCCATATACATGACGTCCGATTAAATTGCACCAGTTTGATTCAAACTTTCGATGTTTTAATCGTCCCTTCTTCTAATTTTTAGATTAGCAAACATAGATAATTATAAATCTGTACTTTTGTTGTAAGCAAAAATGTATATGTTTAAGTTATAGTTGTGTAGGTATCGTTTCCTTAAAATTATTCTTATTATCTCATCAACTTTCATAGGACAAAATGACTGGAACTTGTAAATTTTTCAATTAAAATGAATTATGCATTTTGTTTACCTAAAATGTACTTAAAATTCGCTTGTTATTTTTTATAAAACCTTTCCTTGTCCTGATAATATGAGCAAAAATGTAAAAGAGTACGTAATAAACGAAGCGATATATGTATATTTACAAAATGGACGTTAATGTCATAGCTACTTGTATAAACGTACAAGAAAAACTTCTCTGCGCGAAGATTTAGAATCTTTTGTTACCGCGATTGAAAAAGGAAGGGAAATAAATAACAGATTCATCCGACAATCCCGGTAACAGAAGTTACGTCGATCATAGTGTCGTAAACTAATAAATTGTATTGTCATACCACGTATTACCAATCCGACTACTAATGAAACTGAAATTGAGCTAAAGACAAAGTACACAATTGAAGTGATTATTAGAACGTCACTGTACCAACGCGTTGTATCACTGTCATGAATATGAAGCCTAGCCACATTATCGATTTGAAATAGCTTTAAATATGATCGTAGTCGCTAATGATTCACATAGCTGGACAACGTCTTTCCAGTATCTGCTTGTGTTAATTAATCGCGAGAAGAGCTAAGTGCACTTTGAAAAAAGAAATGTACGTCTGATATTGGTACATACTGTGTAAGCGTGTGGGTAATTCTATCGTCGAGGATAAGTCTGCCATTACTTACGTCCGTTTCTTGACATTATGACCTCGTATTTACATGGCTGGGGCCCTATTTTACTGGTTTATGGTCATGATGCTTAGCGCATTGGTAAAGGTACCGCGTAAACAAATCGTGGCAGCCGTCGAATTTGAATGACAAAAGGCCAGCTTTTGCGGAGACTGTAAATTACGTAGCAATTACGATTGTACCGCGGCCGAAAATTTACGAGCACGTATGCTACGTTTCGCATCCGCACTCTCTCCTATTGGTTTCCGAATTTTAATTCAATCCCATCGCAATGGATTAACCGCTGTTATTCCAGTATTATAATCAATTTTACGAATTTACGAAAAAATATTTGGGAGTTTTATGAAATGGATTTTATTACTCGAGACTGTAAAAAGATTATCTTTACTATCCGGTCATTAATAAAGTTACTAGCTCGTAGAGTTCCTTGAGTGCAGCTGATCGATAGATAGATATACGAATAAATTATTGATAGGAACATCACAAAAAGTTTGTTAGCTGAGAATATTTGAAATAATATTTGTACGAAAATTCAGGTAGGAAAAGTTTCGCAGATTGCGTGTTTTGTAATTAGTAGTATATTTTGAAATGTAATATTGACTTTGCTTGTGAGCAAATGTCGGTTTAAAACAAATTTGACAGTATTGCAAATATGCATATTTAAATATACACAGAGTTACAAATATTTATTACGCATAGTGCAAACTCAAATATTTTGATATTAGTTTGATGAGAAATAAAACAGAATAAGTGTGTAAATTCTAAATTACATAGATTAATATATAGGTCAAATGTTCTTTACATGATACGTATTCAAAATTTGATACATAACGAGGATGTGAGACAAATAAATATTATTTCCGAAAAGAATTTGAGAACGCAAGCTTATCTTTAAAATATAAAATATACGTGAAGAACATGTTACCTGTGTTCAAAAGAGCAAACAAAAAGTGTTCCAAACATCTTTTTTGGTTTCCCTGTACCATTTTTAGAGAGAATTCATTTTCTATATTAATACAAAGTAAATGTTATCGAAAATAGTACTTGAATAAGTTGTTTCGAAATATTAAAAAAATATTACAAAATAATATAAAATAATAAAAATTTAATAAATGGAAATAGTTAAATAACGTCGAACAATAAGGAGAAACACCCTTTATATTAAATTTTCCCTTGTGGAAGTGCTGGTGCTTGCGCACAAATGATTGCAAAAGGGAAAGGAACGCAATAAAAATACCTGTTCTCTCTCAGAGCACGGTGGTCCGGTCGTCATCTGCTCCTTGTTCCCTCTCGATGCAGAACGCACATGTTCCTGTGGGCGTGCGTGCACGCGTGTAACCAAGGCTCTCTCGCGAATATATCGACCTTCGGCCAAGTGATATGTAGGTACTACCTCCGGCTTGGAAGCATACTTTCGTATTTATTGGTCCAATCCGGAAGGTCCGATTTGTTCGACGCCTCAACTGGATATCTGGTCAATCAACATTCCAAGTATAGGGACCACGTAGTCAATCACGGCACCCGCGATACGATCAGTGCCACTATGCGCCTATTTATTTGTTGTTAGCTGCTCTTTCATGGTACAACTAGCAGCTACAGTCGAGAGCACCGCAAGGCAATTTAAGAAAACTTTATTCTCAGAGAATAATGCAAAAGTGTGTAGTACAGTTGTAGAGGTCACAAACGAAATACGTACTTCCTTCAGAGTTAGTGAAAATTGAAGACTCTGGAATGAAATTTATTTTGTTTTTAAAAGTTCTGTTTATCTTGTGCATTTTGCATATTTGTTCAAACAACATAGATACAGAAAAGTTTATTTTATTTTTATTTGTATAAGTTTACTGCATGTCAAAAATTGTAGAAGTCGAGGTACCATTTTCTGTAAATAAATGTATCTAGCACGATTAGTAGTGTAGGATTTGATTCATTGTTTTATATAGTATAAGATCGTTTTCATAAAAAATATTGTCGTTTAAATCAGAACTTATCTTCATTAAATGCATACTTGAACGTTATACAAAAACTACGAATGTTCGATAAAATTTGAGAATTGCAAACAAGAAATATCTTTTGTTTCGTTTTAACCAAATATTATGAACATTCCTCTAAGATCTACGTTTCTTAAGATCTGAACGAAGAATAAATCCAAATAATAAATTGTAAAAAGACGGAACATGGATTTAATACAATTAATTTCTAACTAAATG